TTCCATTTGACCCAGCAATCCCATTACTGGGTATATATCCAAAAGACTATAAATCGTTCTACTATAAGGACACATGTACACGTATGTTCATTGCAGCACTGTTTACAATAGCAAAGACCTGGAATCAACCCAAATGCCCACTGATAATAGACTGGATTGGAAAAATGTGGCACATATACACCATGGAATATTATGCAGCAATCAGAAATGATGAGTTTGTGTCGTTTGTAGGGACATGGATGAATCTGGAGAACATCATCCTCAGCAAACTGACACAAGAACAGAAAATGAAACACCGCATATTCTCACTCATAGGCGGGTGATGAAAAATGAGAACACATGGACACAGAAAGGGGAGTACTAAACACTGGGGTCTATTGGGGGGAAAAGGGGAGGGCCAGTGGGAGGGGGAGGTGGGGAGGGATAGCCTGGGGAGAAATGCCAAATGTGGGTGAAGGGGAGAAGCGAAGCAAAGCACACTGCCATGTGCATACCTACGCAACTGTCTTGCATGCTCTGCTCATGTACCCCAAAACCTAAAATCCAATAAAAAATTAAAATAAATAAATAAATAAATAAAAATAAAAAATAAAAAGAATTCACAAGGCAAATGAAGGGGAGGGAAATATCCTGCAGGCATCAGGAACACAAAGATGGAAGACACAGCCCTAACATTCTGGGAATCTTAAATCCTTTGGTGCGGTGGAACATAAAATATGAGTGTGATAATGTCAGGTTTAGAGAGAAGGGGATGGTAGCCAGCCTCGAACATGACTTCCAATGATCCCCACTTCTGGTATTTATGTCCTGTGTTAAATCCTTCCCACACTGCCTCAGGGGCAGCCTGTATGACCAACGGAATAATATAGAAGTGATGGTGTGTGACTTCTGAGACCAGGTCATAAAAGACATGGATTTCATCTGTATCACCCACACTGGAGGAAGCCAGCCACTATGTTATAAGGACATTCAGGCAACCCTATGGAGAGATCTATGAGATAAAAAATTGGGGCATTTTGCCAACAGCCAGCATCACCTTGCCAGCTGTGTCAGTGAGCTATGGGAAGCATATTCTCCAGCCCTAGTCAAGCCTTCATTTGACTACAGATCTGGCTGGCATCTGGACTAAAACCTCATGAGAAACCCTGAGCTAGAACCACCCACTTTTAATTCTTGACCTACATACACTGTGAAATAATGAATGTTTCTTGTGATGGTGTTAATGTATTTTACAATATATTTCAGCAATACACCACCAATACAGAAGGCAAAGCTCAGATATATGCTATCACATTTGCTCTGCTGTGCCCTGTAATTAGAGGCAGCCACTGCAAAGTTACTGATGAACATGACCTTTAGCTGTATCATGGCACTAGGTGGAGAGCAGGTTTGAAGAGAGAGACTGGAGGCAAGACAGAAAGGCAGGAGGTTTGTCCAGATGAGAAAAGCTGAAGGCCTTACTTGCATCTGATGACATCAAGACCTCCTGAGGGGACAAAGAGAGAACTGAGGACTGACTAGATGGGTCGAGGGGTGATGGAGTGGTCTGTGAGGACTAGTAGTTTTACAGCATGCGTGATTGGGCAGGAGACAGGTCATTCACAGAGCTGTGCATACAGGAAGAGATACAGATTGAGAGATGGGAAAAATACTGAGTTCATTCCTAGATGTTTTGAGTTTGGGGAGCTTATGGGGTATTCATTTAAAGAAGTCTAGGTGGCGGGGCACGGTGGTTCATGCCTGTAATCCCAGCACTTTGGGAGGCCATGGTGGGCAAATCACGAGGTCAGGAGTTCGAGACCAACATGGCCAACAAGGTGAAACCCCATCTCCACTAAAAGAAAGATTAGCGGACATGGCGGCAGATGCCTGTAATCCCAGCTACTCAGGAGGCTGACGCAGGAAAATTGTTTAAACCTGGGAGGTGGAGTTTGCAGTAAGCCGAGATTGCACTATTGCACTCCAGCCTGGGTAGCAGAGTGAGACTCTGTCTCAAAAAAAGAAAAAGTCTAGGCATGGAGCTTTAGGTGTCTGAAAAATTCAGCGCTTATAGTGTGAATGGATCTACTTAATGAACTGGATAACAGAGCAGTGGATAGCTTTGATGCTACACCTGCAAATAGCCAGTGTTACCTTCTAGAAAATGTACCTCCTTTAAGGCTCCTGAATAGGATTTTAGATTATGTGAATGTTGGGGAAAATGGCAGCCTCTAGCCGATAGCTCTCTGCTGGTGGCATCTCCTCCCCATTCCCACCAGGGTATATTCTTCTAAATTAGTAGTTCTCAACCTTGGCTCTGCATTCAAAGCATCTGGAAAATTTTGTGAGGATTAAGTGGAATGCTTTAAAAATAACTGTCAGATGGCAGATCTGTTTGCTGTCGTTTCCTTCCTGCCTAAAAAATGAGACTACACCCTTACGTCGCTCCCTCTCCTGAACCAAAAGGGATTCTCTCATTGAAAGAATTTTGTAAAATGCAAAACTTTATTCAAATGTATGTATCTCTAAAATATAACTCTTTGAAGAAACAGCCACATTACTATCGCATCTCAATGATCCATAATTCCTGTACATAAAATATCCAACAGGATTCTCATGTCCTTCAATATTTGAATTTTTGTTTATTCAGATTAGAATAAAGCCCAGTTGCTTCAATAGATATGTCTCCTCAATCTCTTTTAATGTATAAATTCTACCACCATGTTTATTTTTCCCTTCTAATTCATTTATTAATGAAAGCAGGCCATTTTTCTTGTAAACTTTCCTTAAGTCTAGGATTTACCGATTGCATCCTCATGAATGTTTTAAAAATAAACTTTTTCAAAAGTTTTTCATTTGCAGGCCACGTGAGGTGGCTCATGCCTGCAACCCTAACATTTCAGGAAGCTCAGGTGGGAGGATAGCTTGAGGTCAAGAGATGGAGACCAGCTTAGGCAATAAACTGAGACCTCATCTACACATATATATATTTTAAAAATTGTGGAGATAGTGCTAAGAGTTCCCATTACTCCACTTAATTTACCCTATAATTAACATCTTACATTATTATGGTACATTTACTAAAATAATGAACCAATTTTGATACATTATCATTAGACAATAATGAACCAATTTTGATACTTATCAATCAAGTCTATACTTGATTCAGATTTCTTGAATCCACTTATTAATTATGTCATGTGTCCTTAGGCTTGTCTTTGTTGTGAGAGTTTCTCAGAATTTCACTGTATTTCATGATTGCTAATGACTGACTATTTTCATTCCCCCAAATTCAGACTAAAATCTTAACTCCCAATTTGTTGGTATTTGGAAGTAGGGCCTTTGGGAGGTGATTTAGATAATGAGGGCAGGGGCCTCATGAATGAGAGCAGTGACTTTATAAAAGAGGTGTGTACATATCTACAAATAGTCCCCTATGTAAACATATGTAGCTATATTAAGCTAAACATAAGTTAATACTGATGTCTCCAACTCAAATCCACTATTGCATGAATCATTCTAGTCTCTTCCTGATATTTTAAAAAGGGGCACCTTTATATTTCTTATAACTGGTATAGGTTGAGATTCAAGTTCAATTTTGTGCAAGAAAAATTAATAGAAGGTGACATATTCTTCCATCATGAAGTGCACAGTAATTGTTTGGTTGCCTTTTCATGATTTTAGCAATCACTGATGATCATTCTCTAGGATCCATTAATTCTTTAAGGATTTTTAAAAATGTAAAATTTTGATTGGCTCCTTGATTAGCTAGAATACTTATAACAAAAGTTTCCACTCATCAACTATTTAGTAGCCCTGAGGAAGAGCCCATATACAAAAGGCAGGTTAGGTCAGGTGCAGTGGTTCGTGCCTGTAATACCAGCACTTTGGGAGGCCAAGGCAGATGGATCACTTGAGGTCAGGAGTTCAAGACCAGCCTGGTCAACATGGCAAAACCCTGTCTCTACTAAAAATACAAAAATTAGCCAGATGTGGTGGCAGGTGCCTGTAATCCCAGCTACTCAGGGAGGCTGAGGCATAAGAATTGTTTGAACCTGGGAGGCAGAGGGTGTAGGGAGCCAAGATTGTGCCACTGCACTCCAGTCTGGACAACAGAGCAAAACTCAAAAAAATAAAGATAAATTTAATTTAATTTAAAAGGCAGGATAAGTGCTTGTTTTCCTGATTATTTTTAAAATGAACTGGTTCCTTACCATCCTCCCAGACTGACCACAGAGCTGTTTTTGATTCCACGTACCATTATGAACTTAGAGCAGCTTTTTAGATACACAGCTCAGCCCTCTACCTGCAGCCTTGAGTCCTGGGCATTCTGCCTCAGGACAGTGAAATGGGAGATGGTTGGTGAGGGTGGGGAGCTAGGGCAGAGGCAGAGAGGGATTTGAAAGGGATGGCAAGGTTGGGGTTCTTACGGGCTTCCATTTTTCTTCATCCAGAAAAAGCTCTGGTTTCCAAAGCAATAATTCCTGTATAACTGTTGCTTTGATTTTTATAGATTTCCATGTTGCCTTATAAATAGTTGAGTCCATCTTTAGAAGTCTCCTCAAGCAACCAGGAAAGAAAGAACAGCCTGAAGACCTGGAAAGGGCATGTTTAACCCTAAATCCTTAAAAGTAGCTAATCTAGGAGAGAGGGTACCTTTGAAATGCTGGGGAAAGGGGTAAAGCACCTCTTCTCCACCTTGGCTGTTACCTGAAACACCTTTGAAAAACCACATATGCCCCTATAGTACCTCCACAGATTTTGATTCAGTTGGTCTGGTTGGAACCCTTAATAATGGCAGTTGCTATAACGTTTTAGAGCAAGGTGACTCTAACATTAAGCAAGGGCCATTTCCAAGTCCCCAGCATGCTAGACTAACAAAGACTGTGTTACACCTATAGGTTTATCACCTTGATCTGGCTGTCTCATGTGACTAGTTGACATCTCCGCCCTGGAACTCAGAAGACTAAGCTAGGAATAATGATGCCCAACTGATGTCATCCCTGCTTGAAACACTGGGGCCTTGATGAGTGTGGCTCAGTTTCAACCCTTGGGTCTTTAACATGAGACAGAGCACTGTGACCCAACCCTCGACTCCAAGAATGGCTACATTTACTTTCTGCCTGGCACTATTCTAAGTGCTTTACATATCTCAACATCCCTAATAGGTTGGTATCATCTCCACCTAACAGATGAGCTACTGGGATCTGAGAGAGTTAAGTGAACTGTTAAGGTCAGAAGTCTATTTCTGGGTGGGTCCGGACTCTTCCACCATATGCTGTCACTTACAGGCTGTGATTTTATGCCCAGCCCCTCGCAAAGAGCTGCCTCCTGCTTTCTATTGCACAATCAATATTGACACCTGGTGTAGCGGCACTGTGCCGGGTGGGGAAGTCCTGGTCTGAAATGAGGGATCCTGTATCTCAGCATCAGGCCCTGAGTGGTAGGGTAATCCACACACCTTCACAGCTCAGAGGTCTGAGAGTGTTTTCGGAAAGACTAGAACGCCTAGGTGGCTTCTTCTACCTCTCACCCCTCCTCACTCCCAGTCCTGTGCCACAGGGTTTCACTCACAGTTCCTTCCGCCCCACACTTCTCCTGAAAATCTCACTGCCCTGTGACTTCTCCATGTGCCACTTCCTGGGCGTCAAACCCCCAGGATCAGCTGCCCACTGTCTATGGCCACCCCAATTCTTGATTAGAACTACATTTATCACTGCCCACCCTTCTCCCACTCTTCCCCTCTCAGCAAATGACACCACATCCAGGAAACTCTTAACCACCACTAGTCCAGCGCTCCCTCTTCCCCCTTCAGGCAGTCACCAAGTCCCCTCAGTTTCACCACTCAAGATAGTTGTTAGACCATGGCGCCGCTCCATCCCCGTTTCCCCAGGATAGGCCTCGGTGTGTGAGGCCAGCCCTGCCTCATTTCCTCCTAACCCCAACCCAGGCCTTGTGCTTTGTGTACCACCAGACCCAGCCACAGCTCGTTATTGTTTCTTTGGCTCTCAGCACTCAACTGAGCGCCCCAGCTCTTCCTCACCTCCTGGGACACTCCAGCAGACTCCAGATTGTGACGCAGGCGTCTACGTACCAGCCTCGCTCCAGGTGCCAGGCGCTGCCACACCTTCAGCTCCCCCGGCACAGGTCCAACGCAGAGGCTAAGGTTTCTAGGCCGTGGACTTCAGCCCGGTCTGCAAGCCCTGCTCTGATAGGCTGCCTCCCGCAGTCGCGGCGCCCCTGCGTAGGGCGCCCAGGTTCCTCCCCTTAGCCCTGAAGGGATTGGGCCTTGTGGCACCGCCCACGCTCGGATTGGTCCTGGTCCGAGGTGAGACCCGACGTTGAGCCCTCGTGGGCCTTAGGGACTGCGGAGAAGTGTTGGGCCATGGCCCGGGCTCGCAAGGTGGAGCTGGCCGAGGCTCTGGCTCTGGGGCCGGACTGGAGGCATGCCTGTTATGCGCTCCTGCACGCGCCGGATCCTGGGATTCTCTTTGGCCGCCTCCCTCTGCGCTATGCCATACTGGTAAGGGGAGGGCGCGCCCGGACCTTTCCACTTTGGCCCTGCATCCTCCCTGCGGCGCTACTCTTGGGTGCCCCTGCCAATCCCAGCTTCCTCCTCTCGCAGATGCAGATGCGCTTCGATGGGCGTTTGGGCTTCCCTGGGGGATTCGTGGACTCGCAAGACAGCAGCCTAGAGGATGGGCTGAACCGTGGTCTGCTGGAACAGCTGGGTGAGGCGGCGGCCGCCTTCCGCGTGGAGCGCCCTGACTACCGCAGCTCCCACACTGGGTCAGGGCCACGTGTTGTGGCCCACTTCTATGCCAAGTCTCTGACACTCGAGCAGCTGTCGGCTGTGGAGGCCAGTGCAACACGCGCCAAGGACCACGGGCTGGAGGTGGGGCCTCTCTGGACCCTGCCCCATATCCTATTCCTTTCCCTTCCATTCTTTCCTTTGCCTCAGAAACTCTTTTCGGATTGAGTTTCCGCGTCTGTCAGAACTTGCCCTCTTCCCCATTTTTTTTTTTTTTTTTTTTTGGTGGAGTTGGGATCTTGGTCTTGTCTTATCGAATGGTACTGCCAACCTAGGCTTCCTGGGAAGATTTCCACCCCTTTACTGGGCTCTGGAGAGATTTTTCTAGAACACACATATCCAAATCTCTCTGCTGCTCTCTACTGATAATGTGAAAATGGCCAGGCATCCACCCTAGTCCCTTATTGTTGGGCCTCTGTTTTTCTTAGGAAGAAGATATGGCCCTAATACTTAAGACCAGGGTAGTATGGACACAGATTGTATATGGAGGTGGTTCTTAAATTTTGTCAAGTATCAGAATCAGCTGTGAGGCTTATAAAAACAGCAATGACTAGATTCTACTCCCAGAATGCTGGTTGCGGCTGAGAAAACACCAGCTTCCACCACTCCCAAGTCCTGGGGGCAGCAGTTCAGAAATCTGAGAATTTGCTTTTTTCAAAAGTTCCCAAGTGATGCTGATGAAGCTGGTCTAGGTTTCCCATTTTGAATTCCTTCAGGGCTAAGCATGAATTCTGGCATTAGTTAGGAGCCACTAGAGGTTTAGGGGACAGATGTCATAAGGATTAACATTGATGGAGCTGGATAGTATGTCTTGGGTCATTTGTCTGCAGAGGGTTGGGCCCACTGGGCCTCCTTTAGATAGAAGCCTTGGCTTGTTTCTCTTGGAGTATTAAGGAGTGAGGCATCTGCTCTAGAAAGATCTGCTAAAGAGAGGATGGAAGTAGCGACATGAGCTACCTGGAGTCCCACTCTTGTCTCCTTACTTTTACAGGTGCTGGGCCTGGTGAGAGTGCCCCTGTATACCCTGCGTGATGGTGTGGGAGGCCTGCCTACCTTTCTTGAGAATTGCTTTATTGGTGCTGCCCGGGAGCAGTTACTGGATACCCTCCAGGACTTGGGAGTGGTGGAAGCTGGTGCCTTCTCAAGGCTTCAGACCTCAGCTCGTCAGTAGCAACCCTCTGTGGATGCAGGGAACCTAAGATGAGGACTTTGGTATCTAGGAAGAGAATGGTTTCTCTTCTGGACCTAAAGATGATACCAGATTAAAAGAAGAAGAGTGTACCATATGTTTTGAGCAGAGGACTCTCCAATTCATGGCATCAGGGGCAAAAATCCACAGCTCATCCTAGGGGGTCCCAGCAGGTTCTTAGAGCCTACGTCTTCCCTGTACATTTGCATGTAGCCTGGTAACCCCCAGGCATGCATATGCACAATGTGACCACACACAGCCTGAATTATTTCACCTATCAAGTCCAGTTTAACCAGGAATTGGCATTTGTTACCATACCCTGCCTCTTGCTTTGCAGAGAGCTTCTATGGCAAGGGTGGGTCCTTCCCATAGTCCTCCATGGCTGCTCGTTAGAGTCTAGCCCAACCCATGTTTGTTGGGAAGAATAGAGAAGCAGAGAATCATCTTTGCTTTCCTGAAAGTATCCATGCCCTTGCCAGAGGGTTCACTAAAGCAATTGGCTCCTGAAAAGTGGAACAGGATCTTAACCAATCTCCAACACTTTTCTTCTCCTGAAACTGAGAAGAGGTAAGGAAGTAGCTAGGTCCCCTTGGACTGGGCATGGATGTGAGACCTGTGAGTACTGGTGTCTCTTCTTCAGAGCTTTCATCTTTGGTTTGCTTTAGACTCTGGGACTATCAGAAGAGAACTGACCCACAGCTGTCTAGCCCTGCCCTGCCAAAAAAACAGCCTCCCATTAAAGAGGTCTTAGAGCTGGACCTTGAGGCCCTTTACTTCTTTCAACAGATATCTAATATGTACCTACTACATGCCAGGTACCATAAAAGGTCTTGCTCTCCAAGTCTCCAGGACAGGGGTGGGCAAACATGTTCTTAAAAGCCAAATAGCAACTATTTTAAGCTTTGTAAACTACATAGTTTTTAAAAAAATATTTTCTAACATTGACTAATAAAAGTTGCCTATACTTATTTTGTACAAAATGATGCTTTGAAATATGTAATCTACGGCCATACTACCCTGAACGCGCCCGATCTAGTCTGAAATATGTATACATTGTGGTATGGCTAAATTGAGCTAATTAACATATGAATTTACCTCACACATTTATCATTTTTCATGGTAAGAACACAAAATTTACTCTTAGCAATTTTCACAAATATGATGCAGTTATTTACTATAGTCGCCATTCATGCAATATATCGTTTGAACTTATCTCTCCTAACTGAAGTTTTGTATTCTCTGATCAACATCTTCTCAATTACTGTTCCCTCCTCCCAATCCTGGTAGCCATTATTTTGCTCTCTGTTTCTATGTGTTTAACTTTTTTAGATGCCATATGTAAGTGAGATCATGTGATATTTGCACCTGGCTGATTTCATTTAACATAATGCCATCTAGGTTAATCCATATTGTCACAAATGACAGGATTTCCTTCTATTTTAAGGCCTAATAGTATTCCATTGTGTATATGTACCACATTGTCTTTATTCATTTATCTGTTGGTGGGCACTTAGGTTGCTTCCACATCTTGGCTATTGTGAATAATGTCACAATGAACATGAGAGTGCAGATATCTCTCCAGATCCTAATTTCAATTCCTTTGGATAAATACCCTGTAATGGAATTGCTACCATATAGTAGTTCTTTATTTTTAAGTACCTTTATGCTGTTTTCCATGGTGACCATACTAATGTACATTTTCACCAATATTGTGTTAAGCATTCACTTTTCTTCATATTTTCTTTATTACCTTTCATCTTTTTAATCATAACCATTCTAACAGGTATGAGGTGATATTCTATAGTGGTTTTGATTTGCATTTCCCTAATAATTAGTGATGTTGAGCATTTTTTTCTATACATGTTGGTCCTTCTTTGAGAAATGTCTATTCAGGTCATCTGCCTCATATTTAATTGAGTTATTTGTTTTCTTGCTATTGAGTTGTTCATGTTTCTGGTATATTTTGGCTATTAACCTCTTGTCAGTTGTGTGATTTGCAGTTATTTTCTCCCATTCTACAGATTGTTCCTTTACTGTGTTGACTGTTTCCTGTGCTGTATAAAGATTTTAGTTTGATGTAATCCCATTTGTCTATTCTTGTTGTTGTTGCCTATGCTTTTGAAGTCTTATCCAAAAAATTATTGTCCAGACCAGTGTCACTGAGCTTTTCCCCTGTTTTCTGGTCGCTCTATAGTTTCAGGTCTTGCATTTAAGTCTTTAATCCATTTTGAGCTTATTTTTTTTATGGTATGAGAGGTTCTAATTTTATTCTTCTGCAGAAAAATATGCAGTTGTCCCAACACCATTTATTGAAGAGATTATCTTTTCCCCATTTCCCCATCTTACCCTCTGTGGAAAATCAATTGACCATAAATGTGTGGATTTATTTCCAAGATCTGTATTCTGTTCCATTGGTCTATGTGTCTATTTTTATGACAGTACCATGCTGTTTTGATTACTATAGCTTTGTGGTATATTGTGAAGTCAAGTAATGTGATACCTCTAGCTTTGTTGTTTTGGTTAAGATTTTTTGGCTATTAAAGGTTTTTTTCTAGTTTCATGTGAATCTTTGAATTGTTTTTTCTGTTTCTTCGAAAAAAGCCATGGGAATTTTGATAGGGATTATATTAAATCTGCAACTTACTTTGAGTCATATGAACATTTTAGCAACATAAATTTTTCCAGTTCAACAGAGGATGTGTTTTTATTTATTTGTTGGGCCATTTATTTGTGTCTTTGTCATCACTTTTTTTTTTTTTTTTTTTTTTGAGTCAGAGTCTCACTTTGTCACCCAGGCTTGAGTGCAGTGACAGCATCACATCAACCTCCTCCTACCAGGTTCAAGCAATTCTCTGCCTCAGCTTCCTGAGTAGCTGGAACTACAGGCATGCACCACCATGCCTGGCTAATTTTTGTGTTTTTACTAAAGATGCTGTTTTGCCATGTTGGCCACACTGGTCTCCAACTTCTGACCTCAGGTGATCCACCAACCTTGGCTTCCCAAAGTGCTGGGGTTACAGGTGTAAGCCACCACACCTGGCCTTCAATTACTTTCATCAGTGTCTTACAGTTTTCAGTGTACAGGTCTTTCATCACTTTGGTTAAATTTATTCCTAAGTATTTTAATCTTTTGGTAGCTATTGTACATGGGATTGTTCTCTCAATTTCTTTTTTGGATAGTTTGTTTTTAGTGTACAGAAATGCTACTGATTTTCGTGTACTGACTTTGTTTCCTGCAACTTTACTGAATTTGTTTTTTAGAGTTTTCTATATATAATATCATATCTGCAAACAGGGACAATTTAACTTCTTAACCAATTAGAATGCCTTTTATTTATTTCTCTTGACTAATTGCTCTGGGTAGGACTTCCAGTACTGTGTTGCATCCTTGTCTTATTTGTGATCTTAGAGGAAAAGCTTTCAACTTTTTACCATTGAGTATGATGTCAGCTGTGTGTGGGTCACATATGGCCTCTATTATGCTGAGGTGAACTTCTTTTATGCCTAATATGTTGAGAATTCTTATCATGAAAGGATGTTAAATTTTATCAAATGTACCTGTTGGGATTACATGTTTCTTGTCCGTTCTGTTACTATGATGAATCACATTGATTTGCACAGGTTGACAAGGTCTATCCTGGCACCCTAGAAATAAATCCCATTTGATGATGGTGAGTGATCCTTTTCGTGTGCTGTTAAATTCAGTTTGCTAGTATTTTATTGAGATTTTGGCATCTCTTCAGGCATATTGACCTATAGTTTCCTTTTCCAGTAGTGTCTTTGGCTTTAGCATCAGGGTAATTCTGGCCTCATAAAATGAATTTGGAAGTATTTACTCTTCTTCAGTTTTTTGAAGAATTTGAGAAGAACTGTTCTTTAAATTTTTGGTAGAATTCAGCAATGAAACCATTGCTGAATTATTTTTTTTTCTGATGGGAAAACTTTTTATTCATTCATCTACTTATTTGTTATTGGTCTGATAAGATTTTCTTTTTCTTCATGATTCAGTATTGGTAGAATTGTATGTGTCTAGGAATTCATCTGTTTCTTCTAAGTTATCCAATTTGTTGGCATATACTTGTTTATAGTAGCCTCTGGTGGTCCTTTGCATTTCTGTAGTATCAGTTGTGATGTTTCCTCTTTGATTTCTTATTTTTTTGAATCGTCTCTTTTTTCTTAGTCTAGATAAAGGTGTGTCAATTTTATTTATGTTTTCAAAAAGCCAACTTCTTAGTCTCATTGACCTGTTGTTTTTCTAGTGTCTATTTCATTCATTTCTACTCTGATCTTTATTATTTTCTTTTTCTAACTTTATGCTTAGTTTTACCTTTTTCTAGTTCCTTCAGGAGTACTCTTATTTATATAGATTTTTCTTTTTGATTTTGGTGTTTAATCCTATAAAATTCCTTCTTAGACCTGATTTTGCTGCATCCCATAGGTTTTGGTATATTGTGTGTCCATTTTCATTTGTCTCAAGGTAATTTTTAATTTCCCCCTTTTATTTCCTTTTTTTTTTTTTTTTTTGAGACGGAGTCTTGCTCTGTCATGAGACTGGAGTGCAGTGGCATGATCTTGATTCACTGCAATCTCCACCTCCCGAGTTCAAACAATTCCCCTGACTCAGCCTCCCAATTAGCTGGGACTACAGGCACGCACCACCATGCCTAGGTAATTTTTTGTATTTTAGTTGAGACAGGGTTTCACCATGTTGGCCAGGATTGTCTCAATCTCCTGACCTCATGATCCACTGCCTTGGCCTTCCAAAGTTCTGGGATTACAGGCGTGAGCCACCATGCCGGCCCTAATTTCTCTTTTAATGTTGTCTTTGACCCATTGATTGTTCAGGAGCATGCTGTTTCACTTCCATGTATTTGTGAATCTTCTGAAATTCCTCCTGTTACTGATTTCTAGTTTTATGCCATTGTGGTTGCAAAATATACTTGATGTGATTTAATCCCACTAAATTTGTTAAGTCTGATGTCTTATTTACTAGTTGTATGTATGACTTGTCCTTTGCTGAAAGTGGTGTATTGAAGTCTTCTATTATTATTGCATTACAGTCTGTTTCTCCCTCTAGATTTATTAATATTTCCTTTATTTAGGTACTCCGATATTGGGTGCATACATATTTATAATTGTTATATCTTCTTGATGAATTGACCTCTTTCTGATTATATAAAGACCTTCTTTTGTCTCTTTTTACAGTTTTTAACTTTAAGTCTATTTTATGTAAGTATATCTATATATAGAAATGTGGATTTTCTCTGATCTCTTTTAGTTTTAGTTTGCATGGAATATTTTTTTCCATCCCTACACTTTCAGTCTGTGTGTGTCTTGAAAGGTGAAAGAACTCTCTTCTGGAATGTTGTTCGGTTATTTTTTTAAATTCATTCAACCACTCTATTTTTTTTTTTTTTGAGACAGAGTCCTGCTCTGTCTGGAGTATAGTATACTCAGCTGGAGTATAGTGGAGCCATCTCGGCTTAAAGTAATTATTGATAGGTAAGGACTTACAACTGCCATTTTGTTAACCATTTTCTCATTCTCTGTAGGTCTTTTGTTCCTTTCTTTCTGTCTTACTATCTTTTGTGATTCGGTGATACTTAAAATTGCATTCTCTGATTTTTTCACTTTCATCTCTTGTATATCTACTGTATGTTTTTGCTTTGTGATTGCCATAAAGCATACATAAAACATAATTGTAATAGGCTATTTAAGCTGACTACAACTAAATGTTAATTGTATACAGAAACTCTACACTTTTACTCCATCCTTAATGTTATAATTTACATCTTTTTATACTGTGTATCACTTAATAAATTTTTGTCGCTATTAATAGATTTTTCTTTTAACCATTATATTAAAGATATGTGATTTACAGCACCTGAATTTGACTGTGATATTTCCAGTGAGTTTTAGACTTTGATATGCTGTTACTAATTAGCATAATTTTCTTTCAACTTAAAGAACTCGCTTTAGCATGTCTTATAAGAGAGGTCTGATAATAATGAAGAACTTAACATTACCCTAGAGCATCATCAGCCCTCTCTACCTCTGATGTAGAGAGCAGGCCTACTAAAATCTTTTAGAACTCAAAGAAAAAATACAAAACAAGGAAAATGGCCAAAAAGAACATCGTAGATACTAATGAGATTCCAGGGTCTTGTTAAGTGATGGGAGAAAATACTAACAGCACACATGTAACAGGAACACCATTTTAGAGGAAACAAGAAGAAGTTTCCTAAACTCAAAAGATATCACACCAGAAGTGGGCAGTACTCACTATGTTCAGGGAAACAAAAAGATAAAAACTGAAAAACAGCATCAGAACGTTTTTCATGTGAAAGACATTTGTAAGGTAGAGAATTAATCCACTTACTAACAGCACAAGCTGCATGTCTATCTAAATTGATGTGCAAAAGCATGGATATGCTTGGATTTACTGGAAAACCATACAGGTGTTTTTCAGAAATGCACAAAATGAATCAAAGTAAAGAACCAATCAACCGGAAATTGTGTAAGAAATCTGTGAGCTGGTTGTGAGGTAGTGGCTCCTATTATATGCAAATTTAACGCTAAGTTCCTGTGTTATGGCTATCAATATGTTACCAATAAATGGAAATATGTGTAATATAAAACATAAATAATTTGATTAACATGGTAGTCCCGTAATTCTAGGTCATTCCATGAAAGTTAGATCATAGGGAGTATGGGGAAGAAGAATAAAAATGTACTAGTTGTGCTGAGGGGTTAGTAGCATGATTTAGTTTCTGAAGATGATAAAGAGTCTTTGTGAAATTTTACTATTTTAAGAGACATACCAAAGCAACAGATTCTGCTGAATATGAAAGGATGGGAAAGAAAGTCAGGGAATTACAGTCAAAGATAAGAAATCATCATAATATTAGTATCAAAATTGAATGTCAAATGCATTAGAATTCTTTAACTGACTGGGAGATTATCTGCAATGATCATATAATAATCACCAACTTCAAATTATATATAGCATGATCTGCAAATGTAGGATGAAATTAACAAAATAGATTGAGGAGTGGCAACACACTTCCTCTGGTTCTTGACAGATAAAATGTCAGCTTCTAAGTATGCATATCTAGGAGCTAAAGAGAATAAAAATAAAGATGATAAAAACAATTAACATTTGGGGGATATTTACTGTGTGGTAGGCACTATTCTAAGTTCTTTTCATTTATTAACATATTTAGTCCTTAGGACAACCTTACGATGTAGGAATTCTATTATCTCTATAATCCAAATAGACCCAGCACAAAGGCCAAAAATATAATTGATATACTTTGTGTAACAGATAAATATTACACTCTGGAACTTCAGAGAATATACCTTTAAGGCCTCAGGAAGCATTTACCAAATTAGTCATATATTGGACCTTATCAAACCTCAGTAAATCCTCTCAAATCTTCTAGTCCCCCTCAGAAATCATAGATCACATACCTTGTTCTAGACTACCTCATGTAGTAAAACTAAAAATAAATGGCAGGGATACGTCTTCTTTATGTGTTTTCTTATTGTCTGAATCATGCACAATATGTATGTAGTCTATAGTCATAAAATGACAGTTAAAAGTAAAACAAAAAAATTGTCATATTTATTCAGAAACTAGCCCTAATAAATCTAAAAAGCAAAACAAAAAATGATTTGTGGGTGGGCAGG